TAAAATTATATTGACCTCAGCATGCATAGTTACTGAAAAACATGGACAAAATCAACCTAAAAATATAATCGGTATTAAACATACAGCAATATCAATTGTTTGAACCAATTATTAACATTTGTTGCTAAAAGCAGAAACCTGTGGTTATCACACATGCTTTACAACTTACCGCCACCCAGTGAGAGGAAAATACCTCTATTTTTTAATTCTCAAAGAAAAAAATTATGTTACAATAATATAAACGGTAAAGTTTAGTGTAGCCAAAATTAAAGTAACTACATTTTGCTAATCCACGGATTATTTGTCATTTAAGTTTGAAAGTGCCACTAATAAATCATTTCTCTCCCTTAAATTATGTTTTAAAACACTTTGTAAGATGTAATTAATATTTTTATTCCATTTTCCCTTCACTTACATTCAATAAGCAAAGGTTGAAGAGAAAATAGTGAGCTGGTTATTATATATCAATTAAACGACATGAACGAGACTGGATATCCACCGTCCACACTCCCTACCCTCCACGAGTATTTCAGGGATGGCATACAGCTCTGCCTACTTCCATAAAATGATTAAAATCCTCCACTTGCGGTCAAGTTAGGAGCACTAAAAAGACTGGCTAGTAAGGAGGCGACAGGGGAAATCGCATAACCTTTAATCCCTTTAAAATTAAATTAACATGTTTAATTCATCACAGATATGACAAGTGTCTACTACTTCAAGCCTCCAGAACTAAGCTGTTTGACACCCAAAATGCCTGAAATCAGGGTGAACAGAACATTTAACATTACTAGGACAATAAAAATAAATACGGCTTTGTTCCTGTATGTCTCTCCTGCTAGCAGGGAAGACACATACAGTCTCTTAAGCAGATTAGACTAACCAACGTGTACTTTCCCCTCAGCGCAAATATTTTTAAAGATCCCTTACCAAAGGAAATGAATGCCATGTAAAATTGTTTGTTTAAACATAAGTCTCATTTTTCTTTAAAAATACAGTGGTCTGCAGTTACATTCCCCAAGAATTGCAACTGCCCTGGAAATAGTTTTTAAAGGGAAATAGGAATAAACAAAATAGTGATTCACATACTACAATTCCAACCCCCATACCACTCAGATTTTTAAATTCCTTTTTTTTTTTTAATTTATTTGAGAGAGAGAGAGAGAGCACACACTAGCAAGGGGAGGGGCAGAGGGAGAAGGAGAAGCAGACTCCCAGCTGAACAGGGAGACAGGACCAGGACAGCAGTATCAAAACCTGAGCCGAAAGCAGACGCTTAACTGACTGAGTCACCCAGGTGTCCCTCAGATTTTAAATTTCTTGAAGCTCAATCAACTTAAGTAGCCACCTTCCTACGGCACTCTTCAAGATTTTTCTTTTCTAGAGCTGGACTTGGATCACCTTCCTCTCGCTAGAATGCTTTCAGTCTCAGTGCTGGCATAGGTACAAATGAAAAAAGGACAACAGGCAATTTCTAAGAGCTGAAGTGAGGTTCAAATTCGATGCAATAACGGAGGATAACACAGAGCTTGGCCCACAGAAGGTACTTATTAAACTCAAGTTCCCATTCCCCTTGAACACATTTACCTAGAATGAAAAGTTAAGTCTTTCATTTCGCGTAAATGGAGATTTCTTTAGAAAGTAGTGCCACCAACACACATGTTCAAGAAAAGGCACACTACTTGAAATTTTTTTAGCTGAACTCATTTTGATTTTATCACTGTAACTAAAAGTACCTAAAAAGTAGCCACTATGGAAACTTGATATCAGAGCTTTGCCATCAACCAAGGACCTACAAAGTGAAATCTTTGGGACATTCTTGAAAAAAGGGAGCAGTGCAAATATCCCTTTAACCTAGGCACATTTGGAAAGGGAAAAACACTTTTTTTTTTTTAACTGGAAACAGTTTTTTTTTTTTTAAACCACTTGAACCGTGGTTTAAAAAAAAAAAAAAAGCACCTTAATTTTTTTTTCTTTTGTCAACCTACTTACTTTGGATTATTTAGAAGCAGCAAACCAATGAGTGTTTTCCTCTTACTATATAACTTACTGAAAAACACAATTATCAGAGTTTAAGAACTATTTGAAGGATAAGTAGCATCATTAAGAATGATTGGAGGCATTTTATAGCAAAAATTACAATAACTATAAGCAACTGTCAACAGCATTACATCACATTCCAGGGTAAATAAGAAAGTCTCCTCCTGTAGCAATGATATTACTATTGGTTTGCAAATCTGCTAACCTAACTGATTTATTAGAATGTCCGCTTTGATCACCTGCTTGTCTTCAGCTTCTCAGATTTAGTATTTATCGCAGAGACTGGTAAACTTTAAATCTTGTGAAATGGTCTGTCACATCCTCTACACAGCAAAAGCTCACACTGCTGTTACAACATTAGAAACAGGAGATGTCATTATTGGAAGACAACTTGAAATCTTCTCAACCAAACTCTTAATTTTAAATATTAAGAAATGGGTTTCATTCACAGAAAAAAAACAGGAATTGTTAAGAGACGGGGGTATGTAAGTCACGGCAACATGGTGGCGGAAACCCACTCTGCCTTGCTAAATCCTGTTCCAAGCCCTAACCTTCAACAGCGTTCATGTGGTTGATGGAGATATTTACTCAGAAAGCTCCAGGAGCAGCCTTGGAGAAACAGAGCTTAAGATGGACCCCGCTCAGAGTCTCAACTTTGCCGGCTTCAAGTCTAGGTGCTTGAGAAAATGTGAGCGCAGAGGATCACAAATGAACTGAAAGGGAACCAACACCAGGAACTGCAGGTTTAAGGCAGAAGTTTCTTCTTGTTTCTTATCTTTGCAGTTTCTCCTTAATTCTTCAGACACACCCAGACAGACCCTGCTAGAGAGAAGCATCCATCTGCTAAGGTAACCTAAGTCACAGAAGCAAACCTAACCGAAGACAAAAATCTGACAGATTTCCCAATCCAATTCCTAATCCATTTTGAAATGCTTGTTCTTTACTTCTCAGTTTTTCTACAGGTACCAAGGGTTCCAATTTCTATCCTCTTAAAGATGTACTGAAGGAGTGAGAAATACTCATGACTTGTATGGCAAACAGAATTTTTTTCCCTAGGAAGACCTGTTCAGGACTTCCATTAGAAAGTGGTATTAAAGTCATACTATTTGGAGGTTATGTTTATGTATTAAAGTGTGGTGTAGAGAAAGCTGTCCTGAAGAGGAGAGTCCAGATAATATCCAAGTAGAAAAATGCTGGTTTTCATATGTTAACTAGTCAGACAGCCAGATAAGTTGCAGCAAGTAACATCTTCACACCCCCAGCTCAAAAAGAAAAAGGAAGGAAGGAAGGAAGGAAGGAAAAGAAAGAAAGAAAGAAAGAAAGAAAGAAAGAAAGAAAGAAAGAAAAGGAAGAAGAAAGTGTTTATCTCCTGATATCAGTATAAATACAAGGAGAAAAAATAATTTGGAATTAAGTCAATGATATATATTCAGGGTAATTTAAAGTACCTATTTGCTTTTACACATAATAACACTTAAGAACTTATTGGTTTTGGCTCCTGGGGGGCCTTGGAACACATACCTTTAAAAAAAAAAATCTCACCAAGAGGAAAAAAAAAAAGTAGATACTGAAAATCTGCTTCCTCAACACCCTTTTCATGCACTTAAATTCTAAAATGCATGACTTGAAATGTAAACTTCTATTTCCAGTATCTGTAGCTACAAAACTGAAAATTAGCTTTTCAAATAACCCGCAACATGCCATCAAAAACCAAAGGGTGTATTTTTTAAATATCAGATTCATGTGCAATATAACAAGTTTAATCAGTTCAATCTGTTAATGATTTATAGTGAAACCAAAGTGGAAAAAAAATTTCTGGTTGATCTAGTTTGAACTCCCTCTTAATTTTACACACTGTTTTATGAGCCCGAGGGGTTATGTAGGCATCTTATTCATCATCCCATCGCTAGCGCCTCCCACAGCCAGGTTTTTGCAGGAGAAGCTGTTTGGTCTGAACTGCAGGGGAAATTCAGCTGCGAAACATTTTTACTCAACAGCAAAGACAATCAGCCTCTTTTTTTCGAGCTGGAGATCTAGAAGCGAAGTGAGAACATTTGGGAGCATAAAATTAGTCTGCTCTAACTTTATTAGCGAACGGTGACTGGAGGAAAAAAAAATACAAATTTCGCATTTGCAGGAATGGGCGGGGAAGGCAGGAGTTACTGAATCTAGAGGGTTTGCTTTTTCCTCCCCGAACGCATACACAGCAAAACTAATAAAATTATGACCCAGGATAAAAAGGTCACATTTATTTTTGAAGCATTCATTTAAAAGTAGAGAGAAGCGTTCTCTAAAAATGCCCACAGGTTTAACCATAACAGGAATGTGGCTACCAAATACTAATCCTGAGGGAAATGGATACACATTTACCTCCATAATTAGACCCAGCAGGTCAAATGTGAGCAAGGTAAACCGACATAAACCACAAAACACTGAAAATCGCCAAAAGAAAGTGCCTGTCCTTCCTGGGAGGCCCCGCTTGTCCCTTGCACAGCGAGCGATCAAACATGCGCAAGCAAAATAACCTCCAAAAAACAAAAACAGAACAAAACAAAAAACCCCGACACGCACCAGCCGGGTGAGGGAGAAACCAAACTTTTCCAAATAAGTTAGTTCTGTCGTGCCAGTCTAAACCCAACAGGTGTCAACACACGTCACCACACTAAATTCTTCCGAACTAGGTCTAGAGAAGAAATGGATGGTTGACAACCTGAAAAGACCTGACCGCTTTCAGGGTCGCGAAAGCAATAAAGCGGAGCCTCCGTTCCGATTACACAGAGGTGGGGGGTAGGGGATGGAGACGGGGTGGCGCGTGGAGATGTCCTGCCCCTGACACCGCAGGGGGACCCTGGATCTCGGAGCACGGTTCCCGCGTTCGGTCAAGCCCTAGACCTCGAGGGTTGGAAGGAGAAAGAGTGCCGCGGCCGCAGGGAGGGAGACGGAGGAGGGAGGGCGCGTGCTACCTGCTTGTCCAGCGCGTCCCGGGCGGCTCCCGGCCCGACTCCGGCCCTGGGCGGCGCGGGCGTCCGCTCGCAGCTGCAGCCCTCCAGGAGGTACATGCCCGCCGGGCGGCCGCTCTGCTCGCCCTCGAAGTAGAAGAGCACATTCTGGTAGAGAGCGAACCACTTCTCGTGCCAGCGACTCGCGTCGGCTGCCTTCTTGCTCAGGAAGCCGCGTTTGGTGCCCTCCTTGCGGGCCAGGAAGGCCAGGTACAGGGCGTGCCCCTCGTTGTAGCGCACGCTCTTCTGCATGGTGAGGGCGCGGGGGGCTCACCCGTGCCTCGCAGCCATCTCCAGGCCGGCTCGCCCCGGGGCCCGCCCGCTGCGGTCCGGGCGAAGGGCGCCCCCTTGTCTGACGCAGGGCGCAGGGCACCCTGCCGGCCTTCGGGGCGCGGCGCCGCGCGGGTCCGAGGGGGCGCTTGGCTGCGGCCAGGGCACGTTCTCGGCCGCGACCGCCGCCCTCCTGGCCGAGCGGAGCCCCAGGAGCCCCCGACGCCCGCGTGGAAAAGTGGCCCCGAGAGGGCGCCCCGGCCCGCCGCCGCTTCGCCCAAAGTTGCGGGAGCCGGAGCCCCGCGGCGGGCTGGGGCGGCGCGACGCGCGGCAGCCCGCGGAGGACTGTCTTCGGGCAATTCGCTCCGGGAGACAGAAGGTAAAACGTCACGTGGGAGATCAGCTGTAATCGGCTTGGAGACCGATTTAAAGGGCAAAGTCAGCGCGGCGGCGGTGACGGCGGCGCCGCTCACCCCGGCGCGCGCGTCCACCCTCGCCCGCCAGCCCGGCCGGCTGCCGCCTCTGCTCCCGCGCCGCGGTGGGGCGGAAAGCCGGGCGGTGCGGGCGCGCGGCGGCAGCGCTCACCAGCTCACACGCGCGCCCGCAGGCACAGACCAATATATACACTCGCATGCACCCAGATGCACACTGGCACAGCGCGCACAGTCGCAACACAGTGCTCGCACTTACACAGTTCTCACACGACGTTCACACTCAAACAAACAAGAATACACATACACACAAATAATCACAAATTCAGTCACACTCACATACAAACACAATACTTACACACACAAAATTTGCACTCATATATGCAAATAGAACCGCAATGTGTACTTCACACAGAAATGCAAAGCCATTTACAGTTGCACATTACACAGGCAACTACACACGTGCACACACTTACATGCTCACCCAGACACACACATTAACAGACACAAAACATGCACGCAAACACATACCCAAACTTACACACACTAGACATATACATGTACACTTAACATACACACTCAAGCCAATTACACATAAATACACACACGTTTAGACTCATAAATTCACAGTAATACACACAATGACACAGATTTTAAAAATGTTAGGCAAACACACAAGGAACATACAGAAGCAAACACATTCACTCAAAAAAACTTACACGAACATGCACATACTTATACACAAGCATTTACAGACACACATTCATTCAAACTCATACATCTTCACAAACCCATTCACACGAACTCACAACTCACCTGCCACATCCACACTCTCACACTCCCCCCATCAGTACATTTCCACGGCCTTAGGAGTCATCACAGGATGGTTTTGCATCCCGGACAACCTTGATTTTCCCACTTGTACTTGCACTGTTGTACGTAAACCAGGGCAGAAGGTGAATGAGTGCAACCTCATGTTTCCAGATCCTGCTGTGGTTCCCTCTCAATCACCATGATTTCTCTGGATTAAGATGAAAGAAACTAAATGTTAAGCATAGAGTTTTCAGCCAGAAAAAAATATCCAAACAAGGGAGACTTGATGCCCCTGACAGAGTGTCCCCAGAGGCCATGCTGTCCTAGATTCCCTAGATACCCCAGGTAGGACTCGATTCATTTGATTAACAAATCTTACGAGCACGACCAGAAAACCGAGACCCCTGTTATAAAATGTAAGAAGAAAAGAAGAACGTGCCGGGGAGCAGCAGGAGAAAACTAGTAAAACTGCCAGGGGAGCGCCAGGATTTGACTCTACTGTATCAACTTTTCATTCCCTTCAGTCATTTATCATAAAACTGGTTTGCCATGAAGTGTTTATTATCAAATTTTTTAAATAAAATCACATCCTTTTCCGGACCTCGAATCTGCAACAATACACCTGTCTTGTCCCACAAGTTGTGTGTTCACAAGTTGACGGCCCAGGGCTCTGCCTATTCCGTCAGTGCTGTTTCTGCAGAATATTTTATCTCTGCCTCACGGAGCAGCTGAGTGTTTTTTCCATCTCACCCAAAAACACAAACAAAAATAAAACACTTTCACTATTAAAAACTATACAATACAGGAATGGCCATTTGAAATTATAGTGTGAGAGAACAGTGGTCCTTCCTCTTTACACATTTTTAAATGTTTTCGGGCCAGTGCTCTGCTAATTTGGGTTTAACTCAGCTGGGAGCCTGCGTTGTTATTTAGAGCAGATACAAGGACAGAGACAGTAAGTAAAGGTGGACAAGGTTTGGAACCGGATTCTAAATGCGGAGGAGATGGCAACCGCCTCAGGAGGCCTTTTATTTCCTCCTCTGTGGTCCAGTCCCAGCTCTGAGAACCGTAAGTGAGTAGACACCTGTGTATTGGATGAGCTCCATTTTCTAATGGAAACCATTAAGGGTGTGAATTCAGTTCAAAAGCAATTTTGTGATGAGTACTCAAACCTTCTAGCCACTTGTGTGGTTTTTGTTGTTGTTGGTTTTTTTTCAGATGTGAAACATTCTTTCCCTAATAAGCAACATCTCTGGTGTGGAGGCTAATTTCAGTGCTGATCTGTCCTTTCTCTCTACTCAAATGTCCTTTTGATTTGAACCACACGAAGCATTCTTTATTCTTCTCAGCCTGTCTGTCATCACTTCCTACCATGTAAGATGTTGTGGCTGTCATATGGCCCCTGACAGTGACAGAAGGGAGCTCTGACTTCCTCTGAAATTTGGCTGGTAAAATTGTTGGTTTTAATTATGGAAATTCACTGGGAGAACTATGGATTTGATCCCCTGTTCATGTCCTCAACATGATACTTAAGCAATAGAGAAGACAGAGAAAAGACAGTGCCTCGGTTCCTGGTGTGCCCAGTCTATTAGGAATATGATTCAACGTTTAGGTGTTCTCACATGACTGCTTCTCCAAGACGGGGCTGTAGCACTAATCCCTAAAGCACCCAGTAAGAGAGCTTATATGCACTTGGCACACAAGTGATTCATAACTATTTCCTAAACTAATATAGTATTTGCTCCCTGAACTGTTAAAGGGCACACACATTTGCAATTTTGCAAGACTGTACAGAAAAAAACAGAAATTCCTGGACAATCTGGAGTAGCCATATCCTGTGGGGTGTCATGGGCACTGGTGGGCCTTTATCCTCCTTCATTCATATGGAAACTGCTTCCCTGGACTGGTGCCATCTCGAAACACAAAGGGCCAGAAAGTTATGTAAATGAGGGTGCTTTTCCCCCAGCTGATCAAACAGGTTGGCTGAAGGGGCTATGTTCCAAGTGGGTGGGAGCAAGCTCTTCTGTGAATTCATTGTTTTTTCCTCCTGCATTTCACCGACTCTTTCCGGAAAGGGTCAGTTTCAGTTGATTCTCAAGGGCAACAAAGGATTTCTCACTGCAAACAGTGAAAGGGTCTTTTTTGCCTTTTTCTAGACAAGTTTAGAGAAAAAAAATAGCAATGAACGACCATAACTGGAACCTAATGGCTGCTTGTAGAGGGAGAAGTTATCCACATAATTTGACAAAAAAGGGAGGGAGGGAGGGAGGAGAAATTGTATCTGAGTGTCCAAAACTATTAAGATGGGAGGCCCTGGGGAGCTGATGCTACAAATGTAGGACATATTCCAAAGTTTTCAAAATCCCTGGGACCATGCATGAGATGATGCTCCAGGAGAGGGTCCTGCAAGCAAACTACCATTCAGAATTTAGGAAGAGGAGGAGGGCGGCAGATTAAAAAGTGAACAAACAGCAGGGAGGGAGGTAGGACCTGGAGAGTGGGCTGTCCCAGAAGCTATGTGAAGACAGTATTTGAGGAAAGAGAGAATGACCTTATCAAGTTCACACAACTATACACCCCTGAATCCACATCTTCTCACTGCCACTGCCTGACCATTTGGACAGGCTAACTGGCTGCTGAGGCAAGGAATCCCTTTATCAGGCTATAACGCACAAAAGACCCTGCACACATTTCTTGGTGGCTCTAACATCCTGCTCGCTGTGCTGTCATTGCGGGTGTGGATAGCGGAGGGCGCAAGCTGCTTACTTTGCGGGCAGAAGTAGAGAAAGAGTGGGGCAGGCTGTGGGAGGGATTTGAGAACTATACCTGTTAGGTCCCCCAATAATGGGTCCGTGATTAAAGGAGCGAGACTGATACAAAAGGAAGGTCAAGCAAAGCTTTATTTCGCGCCAAGCATCAAGAATCAAACCGACCATCAAACGGACCGGCCAGGGCCGCGCCTCTTACAGAGAGGGCGACCCTTCTCCGTTTCACAGACTAGCTTTTAAGGGCAAAAGCCATGTGGTTGGGCCTGGCCACGCACAGGTGGCCAATGAGATTATAACACACAGAGAAAGCTGCACAGTGATGTTAGGTCATACATAAGTGACCAATTGAATTATAATTTACCCTATAGTAGATATTTGAACCAGCCTATCACCTTGGTCAGAATTGGTGCCCAAAAGTTGCCCCAAGGGGCGGGGCCCATACTCCTTGGTAACTAGGGAGACAGTATGCGCCCCCCTATTTATCGGATGTTTCCACCTAGCCTGACCCACCCTTGTATTTGGGCTTTGTTACCTGGAACTGGTTTCCTGGACTTGTTTTTAAGTAAGTCGCCCGGGGAAGGGGGGCAGGGACAGTTTAAGGGTTAAACAACAAGGTTATTGTTTAATCTGGATGGAAGTGCTCTGGCTAAAATAGGTCCTTACAGTACCGATTTTCTGTCTCCTAGGAGGTGGGAGACTTGGATTCTCTCTAGGTGCAAAAACTGTTTCTTGGGATGCCTGGACAGCTCAGTCGGTTAAGTGTCTGCCTTCAGCTCGGGCCATGATACTGGAGTCCTGGGACATCGGGTTCCTTGCTCAGCAGGGAGTCTGCTTCTCCCTCTCCCTCTGCCTGCTGCTCTGCCTACTTGTGCTCTCTATCTCTCTGTCAAATAAATAAATAAAATCGGAAAGCAAGGAAGGAAGGGAGGAAGGAAGGAACCATTCCTTTATGAGAACTCCTGGAATAGGTGCTTTAAAATAGTTCAGAAATATAAAGCAAATTCCCTTTTATTCTGGGAAAAAAATGAAGGGATTTTGGCTCGGAAACTCAATATTCTTTTGTAATACCCATTATTGTGTGCACAACTACTCTGACATTTCTTTTTCTTCCAGCAGAAACTGGCAAGATGTGTAGATGAAAACACTACTCCTTCTTCCTAGCATGGAGAAGACTCTATTTGCCGGCTATGTAACTGGATTTTGGCCTCAGGGATGTGGGCACATGCGATGGGCCTCTCCTTGTAGGTCTGGTCATGATCATCTCTGCTCTTTCTTCTTATCCTCGGTAAGAAGACCACATCTTGAAGTCAGCAGGGCTACCAGACAGAAGGAGCCAAGGTCCTGGAGTCAGTGGCTGCCTATGAGCTGTCAGGCGCTGTAGGATCCAGGTGGCATTGTAACATAAGCAAAACAGGAACTTTTGTGTTGTTAAGCCACTGAGACACCGGGTTTCTTGTTACAACATCTAGTGTTAATGGCCCTGCCGGGTACGCTTCTCCATGGA